ATCATGTTTTTTAGTAAAATGTAAAGCAGAACGATTCCTTAGTCGTTTTGAAAATTCTTGCTATATTTTGCTCAAAGTAAAATGTTCGTAACTTACTAGCAAAGTAATTTATGCATATAAAACTTTGTTGAATTCTTGGCTAATTTTCAAACTGCTGCTAATCTATGAAATTTGATTTCTAGTTAAATGCTGAAGTGATTACTGACTTCCAGGCATTTCTAAAGGATTTAGTTGTCAGTTCGTATTAGTGCTGAGTACACAACATTCTTCTAAACATAGAAGTTAGGAGATTACGTTGTCAGTTCGTTGTAGTGCTCAGTACAGAAAATTCTTTTGAACATTTAACCGTTGAGTCCAAGTAGGGGCATTTTTCAAAAAAATTCCCTTATCTTCTTTCAGTACTATAAATTAAATATATGCTAAAATTAATAAAATAAATTTAAATATTTCTCATAAAATATGGTATATTAACACAAAAGGTTTCCTAACATGTGTATGTGGTGGAAAACAGGTGATCATAATAAATTAAAAAAAGAGTTGATAGTGCATTATAATTTTGCTACATATCTGATAATTCATAAAAAACGCAAAAAAGTAGTTTATCGCTTTCGCTTGGTTATGGCATATTTCACTCTCGTTCGAAACCTTTCGGAATTTTAATTGCAATATTTCTAAACCTGAATCTTCAGAAAACGAAATCATTCAGATTTATCAACTTGCTCCTAGAAGTTGAATACAGTCATAAAAACTGAAGATTTAGAACAAGTAATGTGTTACAGATAAGGAAAATTCCTTTTATATTTTGCTATTGCTGCATGCTGTGGAAAGAAGTTTTTTCCGTAGATTTTGTAATTTCTCTTTTCTCTTACACGTCTGGGATTGTTGTAAGAAATTGCTTTACATACTAGTGTTTAAATTCCTTCTTACATAATAATTATTTAAACTTCTTTAAAGTGATTAAACTCAAATGAAAGATCATCATCTTAAGATTCATCTGTAGAATAAAGTACACTTGCTTTAGGACCTCTTCCACGAATGCGTGTTTTTCTTAATCCTTTACAAGCTTTTCCCTTATTGTAAATTATTTAAATTGCTTTCCCTACCTTTTCTTAAATTTGTGAAGTATTCTTGTGTGAATATCTGTATTTGATTTTATTTAGTTGTCTTTAAAGTGCATGTATATTTTGATAAATGTGTAGCAAAGGAGGATCACTAACAACGAATGGTTGCAAACGCTTACCACTGTATCTCTTTTTCTTCATTTTTCTCAAGCATACAACCAGTTAAAAGAGAAAATATGCTTCGCACATTGCGGAATGTGTTTCATTTATTTATTTTGTACGGTGGTCATGAGAAATTAAATAGTATATATGTTCGAAGAATTGTATTGCTCAGTGTTTAATTAAAATAAGGCTTTTTTTAAAGTGTGTTATTTTTTAGATTAAGTCATACTAAAATTGTATTAATTTTTTTGACGTTGTTGATTATGTTGGATCATTATATGAGGTTTATGACAATATTACCTGTAGTATATGAAGTTTAAGCATCATTTCATTTGTTAAGTTATGATAAAGGAAATATTAAATGTTGTGCATAACCTGTAAAAGTTCAATGTTAAATAACATCATCATCAAGTAATGTCAATTTGAAGTGCGGGCCTCAGATTAGAATGAATGTGCTAAAACGCTAAAATTATGTCAATGTGAAATGTGTATGTTCTTAAGTTAGAATAAATATGTGTCAAAAAACTTTAAAGTTCATAAAAATGATGATAATGGTTGAAAATATTATTCCAAATCGGGGAAAGGGGAGAAGCTTTCATTTTGACGCTTGAACATTATTTGTATGGGTATTTTGAGACTCTCTTTTGAGTTCGCCCTCACCGACGTGGATATAATTCCAGTTTAACATATTAAAATGTGGAAATTCTTCTCTATAGTTGAAAGTAATTCAAATTCCATGTACCTTGTTACGGAAGTCAAAGCCCTTTAAATTTGAATATAGTAGCGGTTATGAGGCTGTATCGTAGATGGTGGCATAAAGTTAAGAATCGGTGTAAAGTTTTCACATGAAGGAAACCAAGTTTCAGCTTATATTTAGTGGTTCAAGGTAGGATATATACAATAAAATCCAAGATGTTTTTGCAAAATGTTTCAAACAGCTAACAGGCTCTTTGTTAGAAATATAAATGAGCCCTTCTCTTGAATAAAAAAGGAATGTTCTATGTAGATTCCCATAAACGTCTGTATCGTAAAATAATAAAAAATGAATTATTTCTAATAGGCATTTCAATTAAACTGGGTAGAAATGCGTATGCATTTGTTTAAGAAGACTTTATGCAATGAAAATTTATTATTACTGAATTATAAGATTTAAATCAGTTGAAGTCAGGTGTTCTTCCAGTAAAGAAACTTGTGTAAGTCTGTTTTTTAATTTTAAAAAGTAGGAATTAGAAACGTAACATGAATATGCTTTAAAAGTAGGATAAATTTTAAATATAAGAAAAAAATCTGTAAATATAAAATGAAAAGAGTAAAATTTACATTTGCTAGACATACTTTATTGAATCTTTCAACTGAAAATAAAATGTATGAAAGAGATTTCGTGATGTTTTACATAGATGCAATTCGGTGAAAATTTTAAATAAAAATAAGACGTATAAAAGAGAATCCGTGATGTTTCATATAGTGTTTTGAAAATGTCAATTAAAAATAATTACAGATTAAATAGTTAAAAGTAATAAAGTTGATTAATTAAAAAGTAACGTTATTCAAACAGGGAGCTAAAAAGGACGTTGCCAGAAAAATGGAAAAAAAATTTCGCTGATACGAAACAAACAAACAAACACACACACACACACACACACCAAAAAAAAAAAAAAAAAAAAAAAAAAAAATTTGAAAAAATATTGTCATTGCACAAAATAAAACTAAACTTTGGTAAATTTTGCGTCATTCAAGCATATCTACGTCATTCAAGCACATCTACGTCACTTCCGGAAGAATCCAAGATGGCGACATATTAGCCGGCTGCAAGATGGCGGTGGCCATGCCCTTTATGTGACGTCAATTGCGCCTGCCATGTTCTTCTGGCTACTACTACTTCCGTCACCCGGTTACCTTGCCTTACTATTTGTAATTAAACAGTTACATAAGTCTTCATACTTCCATCTATGGTACCTTTATTATTATTCAAAATAACATAAGTCAGAAGGTTGTGCAGCTTTCGACGTGCGAATGAGAGAGGATCACTTTCGGAATACAATATCATGAAACATTTTAATTCGTGTAAATGAAATATACAACCGAATGGAGAACTTGCTTGAATAATTAGTGACGAAATATATAAGAACGCAATAAAAATTATTATGATATATGTAGAATGCTCTGCAAACATTTCCCAAACTTTGCATAACGGTCTTTTGCCTCTGAATACATAAAAACTGGCCAATAACTATATTCTTAAGACCTACAGTGTTCGTGAGAAAGCGGACTGAAAGATAGCGCTACAGCAGGTTCGCGAAAAATAAATTTTATTTGATATCTTATAAATGTCAGATCCATTGAAAATATGTTAATTTACCAATATGTTTAAAAAATGTTAAGCGATATGTTAGGTATACGTAGGCTATTTACGATGGATAAATTCATTATAAAAATTTTCAAAGAATATGTTAATTCAAACCTATTGGGTATCAGAATACATATTATTAGTAAGTGGTTATTTTGCGCTTCCTCTGAAATCAAGTAAAACGTGTACTGGTGTATAAGGTCTATATTTTCCTTGTATGAAACTGGCGTTACATTTTACAGTCCTACATTTATTGAAAACTCCGACTCATGCTTCGTCGTTACTTTTTTTTCCACTCAGAGTTACAAATAATGTTGTGAAATTTTTATGCGGTATTTGTGAAGCATTCTTGCTTATGCGAAATACCACTGACAAAAGGTGAGCCCAATCATTCTACGATTGAGTTATTTGTAGTATGAATAACGCATTACATGTTTTGTGCCTTTATTTACAATTCACCCATGACATGACACAAAATCAAACTTTTATCAAAATGCAGTCTTTCAATTACAGTCTATTGTTTTAGAATATACAGAACTTGGAGGCCCTTTCTCCCCTTTCTCTGACTTGTCTCGTAACCAGAGTTTCTGTGACTGTGATCTCTTCGCCAAAATGAAAGAACTACTAAGAGGGATTAATTACAACAACCGAAAGTAATCGAAAGAAGATACCCTTATCAGCCATCGCTATCTTGGTGAGGCATTGACCAAAGGTGAAAGTGCTGATGGTGTGCGACTCTTTCCAGTAACTTGTCAGAAAGGTGGTAGAAATGGCAAGGGATTATATTCAGAAACTCTAATTATTTGCATCTGTGGTAATAGATTAACTAATGAATAATTTTGACGATTCGTCACCAATAATTGTTCATTAGTAATAAAAACTAATGAACAATTATTGTTGACGAATCGCATTCTCCTACATAACAATGTGCGGTGCCATGATGCGAGCGCTTTCCCGGATCGTCTACGATGATGGCATTGAGAAGTCCAGAAACACCTACCATACTGACAGGATATGAGTTTCTGTGACTATGATATTTTCGCTAAAATGAAAGAACCATTCAGAGAGATTAATTACAACAACCGAAAGTAAGATATCTACCCTTCCAGGACTATCTTAGTGAGGCATCAACGAAGATGAAAGTCCTCCAGCAACTTGGCAGAAAGGAGGAAGATATGGCAAGTGATTATATTGAGGAAGTCTAATTATTTGTACCTGTGGTAATAAAGTATTTTCAGAATTATTGACATGTTTCCACTACTTTTATACTACCCCCGTAGATTCTTTGCACTCTGCTTTTATAGAAAAGGCTACAGTTTACTCAGGAGGACGGCGCAGCAAATGCTCTTAATTAATATTATCTGTCGTGGAATTAAATCCAGTTTTCCATTTTGCTAACTTAATAAAACTATTAGCAATGAAAAAAGAGCTCGACACTGACAAAATATTTATTAATTCTTTACATCCGTAATGTAATCAAACATCCATTCATGTAATATGTATATCATTTATTTTTTCAGCGTTATGTTTTCTTTATTGTTTCTTTATTGTTTACACTTATAAATTGAAAGATAGTCTAAAAATAGATAAGTGTTCGCGTTTTCTAGTCGTTATTCTTGTCGTAACACAGTTTTAATAAGGGAAAGAATGTTGAAATTTTAACCTAATCTGGGCTGATTAAGAGGATCAAAATATGACATAGGTGCCGGTTTAGCATCAGGAGATACGGGTCCAATGCAATCATACGTGTCAAAATATAGTTGGCAAGAAGATCTATAAAAAGGGAATCCAGAATTATGACAACATTCCCCTTCAGAGTTTTTGCATTCCTCACTTGTTGTGCACTCTTCTCCTAAATTTCCTAATTAAAAAATAGTAAACATGTAGATTTTAACTTATTTGAGGAAAAATAAACGAAAACTCAAGTATATATTAACAATAACATAAAGATATATAAAAAAGTCAAAACTGAAAAACAAATCAAACAAATCTATCAAATCTGAAAAACTAATCTATTTGAGTGCTGGTTTTATTCAAACTACAATAAAAAAAATCTTGCATGAAAAAAAGTGTAGAAATAAAAAATATGAAAATATTCGCTTGAAATCTTTTACAAAATATGAAAATTATCTATTAAAAATTAGGCAAAATGGAACGTTAGATGAGTCAATTTCGTGTAGTAAACCATAATTTTGATTTTGGGTTTGCAAAAATTATCCAAAAGGCTTCTTCCATAGGTGAATTGGATTTTCTTGAGGCTTTTCACATTCACAAAGCTTTAGCAGGTTTAGTTAATGATTTGAAGTCCAATCCAGTCCTTCCTAATGCCTTTAAAATTCTACTATCTAATTCTTTTTTTGCCGATATATGGCGTTACCTCCTCGCGTTTGTACTACCAGAGGGTAAAAAATCCGTTCACTGGTTGCTTTCCATTATTTGAAGTTCAGATGAAATCCATAAGGTGCATTTGCCCCTCGCTCCCTATTTTAACTTCGCTAATTTTTCTTGTCCTTTATGCTTGATCAGATAGCCTGGCTCAGTAAAATTAGGCCGCCAGTGCAACTCTAATTAAAAATCCAGTTATAACCACGTGCAGTGCTGATAAGAACCACGTGTTTCTGTGACTCCTTCTCCTTTATTTTCTTCTTTCTAGGTATTTCTTTCTCTTGATGAGGAGGGACCTGTAGCTGCCCTCGAAATCGATTGAGTGTTTCATTGTACCTACGCTAAATACAAGGTTGTCTTTACGATTTTGATTGTCACATTAGCGTGTTTCTCTTCTAGTCCTGAATAAAAAGTATTGGTGAAATTTAGTAACAATCAAATATTTAGGAAAATTGCATTTTGTTGAACTAAGTTAAAAAGTACAGGGAGATGTTGATGACATAGTGGCAGGCTGGGAAGACGAACAGATGATGCCGACACAAAAATTAATTAGAAGAATTCCCATTCTTTATTTCCACGCATATAAAATCATCTCAGTAGATATTTATCCACTCTTTATGAAATCAGATACATTTCTATGTTTCGGTCATAATGTAATATGACAAATTTCTATGTACATTGGTTTTTTAAAGATAAGACGCAGGCATTTTAAACAGGGAAGTAAAGCAGTTTGAATCTTGACGTAGCGGAAGCTAGGAGAAGACGCAGTTTATTTGCGAGTAGTATTTATACTAAGTACATGCAGAAAGTACTCGAAACTAATGACTGATTAACTTGAGGTTGTTATATGATCATGGAAGAATCACGAATTTGAGAGAACAAATGCATTTAAGGGGAAAACACCAAATCTAGAATATTAATTTTGAGGTTGCCAATTATTGTTAAAGCAGCTATCGTATTTTCTTATATCTTACATATATACATATATTAGTCTTAATGCAGTACACATATCTAGGATAACACCTAATTAATAAAAAGAAGGATGCGGACACTTCCCATTGACTTCTCGCAAACAGCTAGCATTTTCATCGACCTTTCACATTTTTGTAGGCAGGCTTCATGTTAGTCAACTAACTACACTCGATCCCTTATTCTCTTTCAGATCGTTATTTAAATTTAATGGTTATTTGATTTTTCAATATGAGAAGGCTACGCAAGCCAGCTTTCCATTTTATTCCTTTCACATCCATGGCAACACTGTTGACAATCTTTTAAGTTTAATTTACTAAAGTTTACTTTCTTAGGATTTACATCACATAACGTTCAACAGCAAATTAAAACTTTTTTCCAAACTTCCTCTAATTTTTAGAATTTTTCCTCCTTCTTAAAAATAATTGTCTCCGCGAGACCAACTGCTTTTTGGTTGCCATGTTATATATGATGAAAGATCAGAATTTGTTGAAATACTAAGATCAAAGCTCCAAATTTTACCCCAAACCTCTAAACCTTCCGGAAAGTGCTTTTTTGGACTCAAAACTAAAAACCGTATTACCTACTTTCAGCGCAGCTGTAAAGGAAATGTAGACGGATCTTTAAAGCTTCATTTTTGGCATCGCCATTTTCATATCGAAATTAATATTCGGATACTTGATATTTGGGTCGAGGATTTCAAGTTTCATTTTAATACTAAACTATTTTAAGCAATCCATTTCGTCTTGAATAAAGACTAGTTAACTACTTCTCCTGCAGATTAACCTCATATAATTAATTACTCGTTAATCTCTATTGAAAATACAAGTTTTTCTGGAGGGGGAAGGAAGGCTAGCTTCTCTTTCTTTTTTCACCAAATAACTATACTGCAATGCGAATAGAAAATATTAAATTTGCTTGGTATTCCGTTGATACAATCCCTTCTTCTCACGGTTTGAACGCGAATTGTGGGCCCGCTATGTGTGTTTTGGTACGCTGATTAACAAAGCAAATATAAACTATTCTTGCCTAGCGGGCTCCCAGATCGCTTTTTTATAAAGTCTGCTTTTTAAAATTAGAAACTCATCTGAATAACGGTACAGTCATCCTTATGCTAAAGACCCTTTCGAAATCTTTTGTCCTTTCGAACAATGGTCAATTTGCGTAAAGGTGCAGGCACCTCTATGCAGATTTGCCATTATCTGCAGTCGTATAGTATTATATATATGGTTCCTGTATACGCCGTTGAGCATGGTATTCTTGTAAATGTGTTCTTATTACCTGATGTTACAGATGAGAACACGATTGTGCCATATTGCAATAGGACGGTAAATTCTGACTAAATTATTTTTTAACCTTAAAATTAGTAAATCTACCTTAAATTTACTTACGAAGTGTCTTCTTTTTGATGGATCTTTCTTCTAATTGGCAAGTTTTGAGAGGTCCAGCAGTACCAGAATCCGCACAGATGAGACCAGATCCACATTCTGAATCTTCTTTGCAAGGCTGATAGGAAACTTTGCGGAAGATGGGTAAACAAGTGCCTGAAGCTAAACAGAATAAATAACAGAAGAATTTCACTACGCACCCAAATTTCCTTTTAGTACACATTTTGAAAAACACTAAGACATAAGAAAATTTTAATAAAGAGTTTAATTTTGTTAAAATTTAACACCCTATGTTTTTTGCAAATCTGATCTCTCTAAGTATATGAAATTACAGTTTTAAATTTCTGATGGTTTCCTTAATACTCACGCACTCAGATTTATTTAATTTAATTTATAATTAGTTGTTTTCCTCTTAATAAACTCAGATTGTATTACTTTTATAAGTTCTCAATTCCGTTTTCTGAATTATACCATCAATTTCATACTGAATTACATTCAAGTAATTTGCATATAAAAATATACATAAAAAACATTGAAATATTCCATTTCTAAAAAAATGTATATTCTATTTTATAAGTAAAATGAAGTTGCTGAGCAACTGCGAAAGTTGTGACTATAAATTCTCTTTTTACAAAGATAAACTTATAACTTTTTAAAAATATAAAAATAACTTCCACTAACAACAATTTATGTAATTAATTTATCATTGACAAACTAATTAATTTAAGCATTTTTCATCAGTACGGAGATTCTTCTGAGATTGTATCATTTCACTCCTCATTGCTTTTATTTTTCAACGTTTGAATACTTTTAAACCTACTAACTTGATGACTGCTGATATTATTACTTCTTGGGAGTGTAGAGGAAACAGATGTATAACAGACTCACAAAGACAGTTAGTTCTCAAAGATACGTTCTAATCTTTCTGTGAACAGAAAGAATCTCTCTCTTTTTTTTTTTTTTTTTTTGTTATATCACGGGATTACTCAGGGATATTCAGGAAATTTCAGTTAAGCTTTTCATGTGTGGCGTTTTGTGAAAGATGCCGTTTGTTAAGCAGCATGTAAACATTAAGTTTCCTGTGTACAGACAGATGTCCAAAAGTACACAGATATGGTTGCTCACAAATTAAAAAAAATAAACAGAAAACATTATCCTAATATTCACTGGTAAATAATTTATGGAAACAAAATACAAAGAGCAAAAACCACGAAGAATAATCGTTGAAAATATTAAAGCATTTTGCTTATAAAATATGCTGTGTGAGATATGACAGCAATGAGAACTGAGTGAAAATATAGCTAAACATTACTAATTACATTAAGAGATTACTATAACAATTACAATATATTTAAGTATTTAAACTATATCACAATAAAAATTTACAAATCGTTAACTTTAAAATTTTTGAAAAGCTTAATATCTTTTTCTAAATGAGCTGTTGCATGCCTTAATTAAAAAATAATATAATTATTGATTAGGTAATTTAGAAGCAGAAGACGTGCAAAATGCGCAGTGCCCTCGTTAAGATTCGAACCTGGATCTCTTGAATACGCGCCGAGTCTGCCACCGTTTACGCCACGAAGGCATGCTGGAAGGATTGAGAAAAATACTTTATATACTACCCCCTTTAAAGGGCAACTGGGGATTAGGGGACCCAAATACCAAATCTTGGTGTTGATGAATTATTGTCCACCACCTCTTAGTTCAGACGCCACTGTACAGCCATTAGGATTATTTTTTTAAACAGGAAATGTGAAGAATGTGCAATGCTCTCGCTGGGACTCAAACCTGAACCTCTCGAATACGCGACGAGTGCACTACCATTACACCGCGAAGACATACTGGAATTAGGAAGAAAATAGGGAACGGTCAAACATAAAGTGTTTAAAGACGCCTGATTAGTTAATTGAACCTTTCATAAATTTGTAAGAAAGCTATAGTTCACTTTTTGACAGACTAACAAAAAGAAACATCAGATATTAAGTTTTAAGTATATAAACTTATAATTAAACTTATAATTTAACTATATAAACCTCAGCCACTTATAATTAAAAAAAATATTATTGAAAACAACGGTTTCCTAGCGAAAAAGTAGAAATGTTTTTACACTTTTGATAGATCTCTATATATGAGCAGATTGCTTTAAAAGTCCAGTATCTTAGGAATAAATTGCTATTCTCCACGACGACAGTGGTCTCGCCATTGGGTGTTTCTTACGAAAACCAGACTTAGCATCACCTAACTTGAACTTTCATCTTATCACTTTGAAATTTCGCTTTGTGACAAGAAGATCACTTCTTCAAGGCTTCCTACATCAATATTGCAGCTCTTGAAAGAAAAGTTCCATTCGTTCCTGTCATCAGATTGATCTCACTGTCATCGATAGGGTATTATTGAAGTAAAAGCCTCGACTGATTTTATGCGTCTAAGTAAGGGAAGTCGTTTTGAAAAAATTCTGTAAAATTCTATAAGATTATTTACTTAAGTGAGTCCATGTTTTTATTTTATGTAACAATATTTTCCCCATATACAGAAGAATATCAAATATATAGACTAACTAAAACCACAACACATATGGATTCGAAAAGTTCGGATCGCTGTATTCTTCTCATAGTTTGCAGTTAAAAAAAGTATTATATTTCAAATTCAGTAAAAATACTACTGTATTCCTAAGAACAAATATACTAGACAGATATACAAAACTAACAAACATCCACAGATTAAAAAAAATCTGCATATAAAACAAACAGCGATCTAAAAACAAAATCAAAATTTTTTCTCAAAGATTAAAAAACGCATGCCCCCTGTTCTCCCCAGAACAGTGTATACTGTTCTGGGGAGGGAAGAACAAGACGTCCAGCAAAACTGGAATTATGAGTAAGTTGTTAGAATGGGGCAAAGCACAAGAAAGGTTAGCTGCCTAAGGAGAGGGATACCTTCGTGGAGGACTTTCGAATATTCACAATATTCAACTGCAATGTTACACAAAATATTTTTTTTTACTAAATATTTCGAAGAACATAAATCAGAGCATACTTTTAGTTATAAATATGCATAAGTTAGAAAACTGGATGAATATGATAGATACTACGTATATTTTTGCGTGCTGCAGTTTCATAGAGATATACTTAAATAACTAGTCGAGATGAATAGAAAGATTTGAATCTTTCCTAAAATCAGTAATAGCTTATAAACTAGACAAACGGCTATGTATAGCTTAACGTAGGGAAGAAGAGAGATAAGGCGAAATTCTCCTTATCATGCGAGGAATATCGCAAACCACTAAAATCGTTCATAGAGTAAATACTCAGCAGTAATTATCCAATCAGATGCTCTCTAGCAAAATAATCGCAGACTTAATTGACTGATTGACTGGAGGCTATAATACAGCTATTATTTATTGGGTTGCTCAAGGGATAGGATAAGCACTTCTGGGAACTTTGAGAAAAATCTTAGCACCTCGAAAACGCTTTTATCAAAACCTCACAAAATTGAAAAAAAATCTCGAAATGATGCCAGGTTGACGAGTGAACGTATTGTGATGGCCTGGTAGGATTGCTTTGCCCATATCTCTAGTTTTACTTGAGCTGTTCTTATAATTCAAACATCAGCTGCTTCAGAATTAAAAAATGCATTATGCAAATAGCATGGTCCAATGTTCAGATGTTCGAAAGATGCAGGCAGGTTCATTATAAAAACTCACATGTGCGGGGAATGCTTGAAGAAGTAAATAATATGGCATAGATAGAAAAAGTATTTATGGTAAATGCAATTACAATTAGCAATCGAAAAATACATTAAACTATAAAGATAAACATAGAACAGTTACATAAGTTAGATAAAGCATGTGGTATCCACATTAGTTTATTAAGGATGGCCACAGAATGATTATTAAGAACATTTTCTGGGGAGCAATAGTTATAATTATACATTAGGGTAATGTTCTGGTCTTTAATGAGGAGGTACATAAGTTGATTAATACCAAGTTCTTCGTGAATTTTGTTATTTCTGATGGTCCATGGGCCAGCCAGATATTTGTTTCAGGATGCAGTTCTCAGCCGTTTGTGACTGTTTTGCGATTGGTGCGGCAGGAGTATGCCTAAATTAGGAAGAGTAATAAAGTGTGGGACGCAAAAGGATTTTGTATTTGAACAACTTGTTGTCAACAGATAAAACGCTGTTCCGCACAGTTAAGGGGCAGTTTTGCTTTACGTGCCTGGAGCTTCTCGACAGTAGAGCGTATGTGTGAAGACCTTAAAAGATTTCGGTAGAGGATTACACTGAGATGTGACTCGTCTAGACAAGGTCAATGTGGTTTCATGTTTTCTAACAAGAGAGCCAGCGATTTTGCTATTCTTGACGAAGACAATTGCTGTGGATTAAATTAAGAGGCCTCAAATTCAAAATTAAATATATTGCCCAGCAAGTGAACTTAAACAATTAATTAATTAAATACCTATGTGAATTAATATAGTAATACAATAGTCAAATTAAAGTAAAAAAATCTAATTATAAAGGTGCTAAATACAAATAGAATTAAAAAAATTTACAACAGTACAAAGCTCCTAATCAAATGATATCAAGGCAAAGGAAAAACACAAAAATAGAAGTGTCAAATAAAATATGACTACAATAAAAAAATACTTCCTGTCTTTTACCTCCTTCTATATCTACGCATGCTGCACCCTTGCAACATTCTTCTGAATGCTCGCATTTTCGTCCAAAGCAACGATCCTCTTCTCGATCCATAAGAGCTTCTAACATTTCTCCGTCTTTTTTCTCAGCCTGGAAAAAAAAAAAAAAAAAAAAAAAAAAAAACAATTCACCGCCATTTTAAAACTATATATTGAGACAGTTTTTCAAATCATTCAATACAAAACTTGAGGTGACTAAAACAGCACAGGAAAGTACCTATTGCTTAATTCTCAATATTGTTTTCGAAAGAATTTTTTTTTTGGGGGGGGGAACTTGTATACTGTGAAAATAAAAATAATTTATTAAATTGCAACTGTAAAAGGGCTTCCCTTAAAAAAAAAAAAAAAAAAATTGACAGAACAGAAGGATTAGAAAGAAACTAGAAGCAGACCTCGGCAAGTGTTTCTGCTAGGCGACACATAAGAGCTTTAATTTATCGTGCTCACGATCTCGCGCATAGCGGATTATCGAAGCGCTGTCATTCGCAAAAGCATAAGATTTAAAATTAGGGAGAACAGCAACCGTTCACTGGCGTAGATTTTGAATAAAATCTTGCTGATTTTAAGTGCTATCAGACATAAGTAAACATTCTTCAGAACCAAAAATGTTTCCTAAAATAGGAGGAGCAACAATTTTATTTACATGCAGAAGCATTCATGAAACAAAGTGAATAGGAACGTAGCGCCATCTCTTGAGGAAAACAGTAATAAAAAGCTGTAAAAATTATCTTTACTGTATTGCATTACTGTTTAGAATTTGAAATTAGAATTTAAAAAGTGTTAGGAAGAAATGCGGCTAAAACTTTCAAAATAATTAACATATGTAATCATCATAATAGAATGAACAGATATTAACAGAACAGATTTTCTTTCCGATGTTCTGCTTAGCCTTAATTCAGCCCTGCTAGGGTGATTTATAGAAAAAAGACTTAAAGCTAAATATAAAAAAATGATTATTTCGAAAGAGGATATCCATGATTGCAGAAAAATGCTGCGATTTGAAGTTATATTTAAATCTGAATATGACAGGCAATATATTTTAGAGTTGACCACTATTTAAAAATTAAACTTATTTCTATTATTCTTAAATTTGTTTATAAAGTACCAAAGAAAAAAATCATACTCAAAGGTGTTCCGCAAGGCAGCGTTCTCTCGCCAAAATTATTCCGTAACAATATATGTACATATACATACATACATACATATATATATATGTATATGTATTGTTACGGATTTTGTATTTAGTTGGCTATTTTTAGTAGAACTGTAATTAAAATTGTTTTATTTTCCAGTGCAATGAAGCGCGTGACGAATTTTAAGAGAAAGCTACGCCAGAAAAGTAAAAATATAAGAGCACGTCCATTTAACATTTTAATAAAAGTTTATCTTCATAATTGATATTTAATATGAATAAATGTAATTGACTACAATGTTAACTGTAACTGTAATTCTACGCTTTTTGCTTTCGAAAAGTTGCTAGAACTCTCTCATGCGGCCGATTTAAAAAACTATAAAAGCCAGAGAGAGAACATCTCAACTCAGTGGTTTTTAGATAACTGTTGTTTATTGACTGTAGCGAATTCGCGGTGAGATCGAATTCGCTTTCGCTGCGCTTTGGATTGTGTTCTATTTAATGTTTTAGCAGTTTAAAATTTAGCTATTGATTATATTGCGTGATATTGGGATTTTGTACGAATATCTTTGAAGAAAAATCCAGCGTTTTTGTTATATTTCTTGTGATAAGAATAAATTTTGTTAACTTTTATCGGACTTGTGCAATCAATCTATTATGACCCCTATCGCCCGCAACAATATTGTTACGAATTTGGTATTTAAAAAGCTAATGTTAGTTCAATTATAAATTAAATGGTTTTATTTCTCGCGCAGTGCAGCGCGTGACGAATATTAAAAGAAAACTAAGCCGGAAAATTGAAAATACAAGAGCGTGTGCATTACATAAATAAATATCTCTTTTTGATTTCGAGAAAGTACTAGAAAATTCTAGCGCGTGATTTTTTAAAATCTTATAAAAGGAGGAAAACATCTCAGTTCGTAGCCCTTATGGACATGATCCGTGTACCTGGATCTTCAAAGCTGATTATTTATTGCTAGTGTAAAATTTTTTCACCTTTGCTACTTCGCTCAAATACCGCCGTCCCTATATGTACATAGTGTATAGTTTCAGTAACTCAGTGGCTCAGTGTTGTACAAACTTAGTGTTTCATTTCTCAGACCAAGACTTCACTGATTGTGATATCTACTGTTTCAAGATGCATTGGCTGTGGACAGTTCACGGAGAGTGACCTCCACGTGACTACCACTGTCCAATCTGGTTTACAGCAAGGATGAATTGAATATTTTTTTTAGCTAACCTGTTGCACTTAGTTGTCCATTTCTTCATTTAGATCGCGAATTAGTTTAATTATTCCATCTGGATAACCTGTTTCAAACTATATTATTAACAATCCAATATTTCTCATTGCCGCGTAGGTTGCTTTGCTCGGAGTCTGAGCTTGGGTGGGTGACCACCCACGTGACAGCTCTGCCAATCATCTCCCTCCACTCCCCCTACATTTCACAAAATTTGACAGTTTCGCCTAGTTGGCGCGGGCGTAAATCGCCTTAATTAAAAACTTAGTACCAACGCCTTAGGACAATTTACCACAGAGACGATTAAGTAGCGGTTGGCTATATTGCCGCCTACCTTGACTCGATTCGATTTCGATTTCAGTTCGTAGTATTGCTTAGTTTTTTGTTGTTTAGAAAACTGCTCTTGTTGATTGTAGCGATATCGCGGATTAGCTTTCTTTAGCTGTTTGAATTAAGTTCTATTGGACATTTGAGTAGTTAAAAAATACTAATGAGATATGTAATACTGCATGATAACTTGAGAAATTTAAGCATTTTTGTTGTGATAATAATAATTTTTGTTCATTTTCATGGACTTGTGTCATTATCACGAACCCGTACGCACGCAACAATTTTTGGTGTCAGGATGGGATTTGAATGCCAATACAATAGCGTGGAAAACAATTCAGGCAGATGACTGCATTGCTCTTTCCAAGAAAAGATGAAGGGCTGTAACTCCTAAGGAAAAATGATTGCAAGATCCGTTAAGAGAGATGAGATCCGTTAAAAAGGAATGGAAGTTCATTCACGAAAAGTTTGGAAGCTGGTCAAGTAACTTTTAAAGAAGACAAAAGCTGAAGAAAAGATTTAAAGCGTCAAGACGAAGAAAAGAGAAATAACCTCGTAATGAAAGTCATTTGAGGCTATGGAAGACGAATGAGCTGTCGAAAATAAAGTCGGGCAAATTGAAGAAAACGGTTCTTCTGTCAGAGATGAAATGACGATAGAGT